TTTTTTTAAGATGTGCTGTGGATCCAACAGATAACTCCTTGCTGCAAAGCTTTTCGTTTGATTGGTTCTGCTCTTGAATTTTAGTTGTTGAGCATCTTTGTTTAATATTAGAGTGAATAATGTCAGATAGTGAAACAGAGACACATGAACAGAAGTCAGAAAAGGATAGGACATTGTACTTTGCCACAGAACATTCATCCTTATAGATGGATGAGTAGATAGGCTGAAGAACAATAAGTAATAATTTTTTCATCACCATTCTGAAAGTAAAAACCATTGATGTACCTAATAAATTATCGACGAATAATCAATCGATTAATAATGGCATATATGGTCCATATAGAACTTGATATATGTACAATTACCAAAAATCACTCTTGCACAACTTGGGAAAAAGCCAATGTTGCTGTAATCATACAAAACACTTCCACCTGGCAAACTATAACTGGTTCTGGAAAACCTCCAACAACCCAAAATCATGCCAATCATTACTCCTATACACGAGATACTATTTGTCGATAAATAGACTCGTCAATAAAAAAGAATGTTGAAATATTTGAACACAAGATGTTAAAATCCTACCAGTCTTCGATGCATGGGCATTTATCTATTGGTTCGGGAAAGAAATATATCAAAGAGATTGCACCTAAAATAGTACTAGTTGGAACTGATTTCAAGGAAAAGTGTGGATCGGTTAAAATTTAAATTCAAGAGAAGAAATAAATATTGAATTCAATAATACTCGTACTCACCAAAAAAACTATCGCTCAAAATGAAATCGTCGATTTGTTTTTGAAAAGTTATTTGCTCCCACCACACAAATATCCCAAGAATTATTCCAACCGTGATGTCTGAAAAATAAACAAAGTCAATTAAATTATACAACACCATCCACCAATGATTGATCTAATATAAAGCATACCACAAAATCCATGCATCCCGCAATAAATCCTTCCAACAACAATGCTCGCGCAATAAATAAAGAGTCCTGCAACGCAAATATATTTCATCCATAAATCCATGTCATTATCAGCTAATAGGTAGCTAAGGCAGAATAGAGCAATCGACACTGAATTTGTGGTGTGAGTCGACGGAAGTCCATATTCTAGATGATATGTTGTGAGGAGTCGTTGGACGGGAGGTGAACGTGGTCGAGGTAAGCAGCATAGATCCTGTGGTAATGTATAATATTGATATTATTTTGATAAATAATTTGATGATGGAAATTAATTTAGTGTTGATTTCGAGTATGGAGAAGTTAAATAGGCATAATAGTACTTTTACGAATGCCGTCAAAATGACTCCCACAGATACGATAAGAGTTAAACTAACACATGTCAAAGTAAAGAAAGAATCACATTAATATTATACAATTTGACTCCATCGCTATATAACGAAATGATGTGATCACATACCCTCTCGCAAAGGTCGCATAACCAAACCAAAAACTCAATGGCAAAATTAACACAAAAAAGTTGTGATTTCCCAGCACTGATGAATAC